TTTTTGCATACGGAAAAAGACGATTTTCAGTATCTAGTATACGGAAATATTTACAAATTTATTATACTGTTTTTCTACGTTTATTATACGTTTTTTAAACGTATTATTTCTGTATACTTTTCTTATACATATTATTTATAGGGATTCTGATATAGATTTAGCAATAAAATTAAAAATTAGATTAGAATGATAATAGCAGGAAAAAAAGTAACCATCTTTAATACTTGCTTGCTTATTACATCCTAATTATCAAATGAATTTTAATAATCAACATAATATTAATTATATTATATTTGGTTTATAGCTTAGATATTATTATCATATATAATTAGAAAAGGAATTTAAATATATATCTAAAGAATTTGATAATTTTTGTTTAGAAATTTATTCTTTTAACTCAACCATATGAAATCAATTTAATGGTAATATATTTCAATATTGGTATTTTATATATACTTTTACTAATAAATTAAATTTAATAGTATGTAAAATATTTGAAATATGTATAAATACAACTTTTGTTGAAAGACTTTGAAGTTGTATAGTTTTTTTTACATTAATCATAAGTAATTTTAAATTTATATTAAATTTATAAATATTTTTATTTTTTTAATTTTTTAATCATTTAAAGTTTTTGATATAAAGTAAATTATAGGCAGATATTATATATAATTATTATTTTCAACCAAATATTTCACTTCCAACTATACAAACTATAGTATCTGATATTGAATTTACTAAGTATAATAATACAATACAAGAAACTTCTAAAGATAATGAAAATTTATAAGAAGAAGTTAATATTTCTTTTAATTATCAAAATATTGAAGAATTAGATAATGAATTTGAAGATTTTATTAATTTGAAAAAAGATTTTGAAAATTATCTACAAGGATGGATGGGTATATTAAGGGTGTAAAAAAAATAATGAAAATATTAAACAATTTAATGAAGAAGAATTCAAAAATATTAGTCATCCAGTCATTAATACAAATGCCAAATAGGAGTTAGCATTTCTTTTTAAAAAATTAGATTTGCCATTTTAAGTAATAATTTGATTATAAATTTGAAATAATAATAAATAAATAAAATAAATTTTTTTTGATCTGTATAATTTATTTATTAAACATTAATTTCTTTGAATATGAATACAGACTATCCAAAATTGTTACAGATATAAATTTCATTTGAACATGAAAGTTATAGCTGGCTTTTTTACAATCATCTCATAATCCTTTAGCATTTTGATAAAACCTTCAGGGTGATAATACAGCTTTTGCAAGACAAGATGCCGGTCTAGATCATAAGCTTTTTAAGGATCAATATAAATCGCAGATTTTTTTTTTGCAATAACTTGGTCTAACCTCACGCTTTTTGAGAATCGATTTAAATAACTGATTCTCTTATCTTTCTATATAATTATAAAAAAAAGAAAGACAATTCGCAGACCTATCTAAGGCAACTAAATATATATAAAGAGTATAAAACTTGAAAGAGAACAACTATCCTTTTGAGATGTATTACAGTCAGAGGTTGATACTAATCATCAGAACGAGAAATGGTTTAATCAACTGAAGCATGAATTTAGTCAGTATTAGCAGGAAATCCAAAATCTCAAAGCGTTTTGAGAATGCTTCAAAAAAGAGATAGCAGAACTAAAATCTGACATCTTCAGTCTAAAAAGTCAGCTATATCAAGCTAAGAAGGATGTGCGAAATAAGAAAAAATATATAACTCTACCTTAGAAAAGTGATTGATAGAATCTGAGAAACAGGTAGAGAAATTGCGATACTATATCAAGGTCATTTTATCAAGGAAAAATTCACCAATACGAAGGAATTCTTTTGACTTGTATACTGATTTGGACATAGTCACAATCACACAAAATTAGAAATATGATATTTAAGGATATGAAAAAATCACATGCATGAGCTGTAAACTTCTCGTAGATCAATATACATAATCAATATTGCGCAATAAAAGGCATCTTTGCGAAAGGCTCTAAGAAAATCACAGGCATGTTTTCAATAAATAAAGTTGCTAAGCTTAATACGACCCTACATTTGATGATTTGCATACTAACAACAATGGTATGTATGATGAATTCACATTAGAGTCTCTGATTTGCAGCTTCGAATGGTAAGTCAATTTTTTCCATTTAGTTTATGACCAAGAATACATCAAGATGTATACCTTTATTATCAAAAAAGGAATTCTTTTGTTTTAAAGAAAAAAAAGGTGCTAGCAAATAGTGTTTCTTTTTTTTACTGAAAAAAGTATGATAACATCTATTTGTAACTCGAAATATTTACGAAAAAAAAAAAAGAAAAATAATAATAATAATAATAATCGATCTATAAATTTTTAAATTAACTTTCGAAAATATATTAAAAAAAAATATTTTTTTTTTACGATATGAATTACAGTTTATTCTATTAGTTTACCAACGCGTAATAATATTTAAAAGTCTTTCGTTTCCTTCATTCATTAATCCTGATCGTGCATTTGTAACCGACAAGATGAAATCATCTTTGTAACTAGCACCACATCCTGGAGGACTTGATAAGAAATAATCCGAATTAATGATAATTAATTTTTCTAAAATCCTATGAATTCCACGTCCATTAAATTCTTTTGTATTTTTTAAAACGATATTATTTTCTAAAAGATTTTTAAAAGGATTCATTGTTTTCCAAGTGTTTAACTTTATCGTAGAATTTAAAATTTCGATTGTTTTATGATAATCTTCATTTAAAGATAGATTGTTTGCTCTAGAAGAAATTGGATAATCGGTAGTAAAATAAACATTTTCAATTCCTAAACTAGTTTTAATTCTTTTCAAAGTTTCCACCAAACTCTGAGCACATTCAGGTAATTTAGAAGAAGGAGGAATTTGATTTTCCGAACGCCAATAAATTGCGATGAAAGGTTGTAAATCATTAACGATCCTATCAGCTTCTTGTAAAATAAGTTGCGAGTAATCTATTTTAGGAAGGCTTCCAGGGAAAAATGGTTTACGAATATCGTGATTTAATAAAATAATTTCTTCATCAATTTCATTTAAATGATCTACCAAGAATTTTGAAAATTTTGAACGAGTTTCATCTAATTTCCAAAATCCTTTACCGGTACGAATTTTTTTGAAAATAGTGTCTTCATCGAATTTCATTTCGAATTGGTCTAAACAATTTGTTTTTTGAATTGATTCCAAAGATTTTGGGTTTACGATATTAATAGTGGAATTTACTCCACCACCTGCAACAAAAATATGTTGAGTAGTTGGTTTCTCATGACGTAACCTTGTCCATTGTTTGAAATTTTTTTGTGAAATAAATGAAACATGCGGAAATACATGTAAAAGTGATTCTATAGAATAATAAAAATTAAAAGGAAAATTTCTACATGAAGAAATTTTCGAATGCCCAACATTGGTTAAGACCATTGTACGATTTAATGCTTTGGCAAGTTGAGTAAAACTTCTCATATGTTCATTAGCCAAGGTTTCATCATCTGGGTGATTATATACGAAAAGAAATTTACACTTATCATTTCCACAATATCTTTGATTAATTCCTTCATCGCTCATCAATAAGATATTCTCATTGTTGTAATCATCTACATTCGTTTGATTATTGGTGTGAATTCCTGTTATGATATTTCCATCTTCATCAAAATCGATCGTTATTTCAGTATGATTGTCATGTGAAATCTACAAAAAGGAATAAGTAATTAATATATTTGATTTTTTTTTGGTAAAAAAGTTTTTTGATACTTACCGCAGTCCCATTATCCGGTTTGGTAATTTCTTGATCATCATAACAGATATAACCCACCACAACCAATAATACAAAAAAATAGATAATCGTTCTTTTTAAACATTGGTGAGCTATGAAATAAGGTTGTGGGAACGTTTCTTTTGAATTCATTATTACAAAATATAATTTGTTTTTTTTTTGGACGAACGAATATGTTTTTAAAATTAATTCACCGATAAGGACGTCAAAAAAACAAACTTTAAAGGCTATCCTTTTACGTTTACGTATCCCCTTTTTTTTTTAAAAAAAAATTTTTTTTTATATACAGATTATTTACAAAAAAAAAATTGCGAGATTATGGTCTATCCGCTAAGACATTCGAATACGTATAAAGAACACGATTAAGAAACAATCTCTCTTTTTTAATAAAAATAATCCCTTTCGAAAATTACAAAATCAACCAATCGAAAAAAAAATTGATATTAAAAAAGGGGAGGAGAGTGCTTGAAAAAAAAAATATATATATTATTAACACTTTATATTTATATGAAATGTTTAACTTTAATTAACTATTTGTATGCAGATGGTGCAGATAGGACCAATTGATGCTGCAATTAACTTAATTTGGAAATAACATATACTAAATTTGATCATTTATAATTTGTGTATAATCACAACATGCATATTGTTATTGCTATGATCAACCCGCGAACAGAAATCAATTGTGCAAACGAGTAAGGTTATTTATGAAAAAGGTGCATTCATCATTTTTTCCTTAATGAGTTCGTCCGTGTGCTTATGATAAAAAAATGATGTGATGATTAAAAGGTAGGAAAATTGTTGAAAAAACTCGTAATTTTGACATTGAACGAAGGATTTCTTAAGTGAAATATGAAAGATGATCACACAGTTTTACGAATAGGAGTGATTTTAATGCGTTTCATGAGACTGCATCAACGTATTATATTCACGATTAGGGCCATTGATCAATAAATTTGGATCACAATACTTCTATATTTAATAATAGGTTCGTTTGTATTTGATTACAAACCATGTATAAAACTTCTGTCAAAAGCAAAAATTTGATTTTAATGAGTTGAATGTATACTTTTTAACTATTTTCAATATATATATATGTTGATTTGAAGTATGTCGCGCGGTAATTATCTACTATGGTAATTCTTTGTAACTGAGCACAAGTGTAGTGCAATTGGCAAACAAATAAAAAGCATTAATTATATCCTGATGCATGAATGCTGATACAAGTGTGACGACTAAAACATATGAGGCGATAGCCTTTAATACCTTCAACGGTTACTACCGAAACCGGTGGATGATTAATTATTATTCTTGAGAACGATGGAAATTTTATTGGCTTAATTGTTTTTCATCTATATCAATTTCCTTCCAAATATTTGAGATTAAATGAAATAAATGTAACAATATCTGCAAAAAAAAATAAGACATAATTTACAATAATTAATAATATTTTCGACCTTCTAGGTCTCCTCCGTCAATAATCCTATCAAAGTATGCCACGTATAAAGCAGGAATAATAGGTGGAAATGGCGAATCAGGACGAAACATAACATTTCTAAAAGAAAGATTTATCATTATTATGATTTAAATTATTATTTTTTTTTTTTTTTAAAAAAAAAAAACTTTACCTCATCTGCCCATCTCTTCCGTATGAAGGTTTAGTAACGATACCATATGTATTAATTCTCTCCGGATCAAGCCATTGCATGCCCCATTCACTAGATCCTTTAACGTAAGAAACTTTAGTCCAATCTTTCTTGTTGGAACATTTACGATAAATTTCGCCAAAATATTTATAATCCCATCTTATCTCAAATTCACATTTCAAAAGCTTTTCAAGATCATCAGTTTTATCTCTCGTTTTCCTTTCTTCATTATTCTCATTATCATCATCATCCAATGTTACGAAAGAAATATGAACTTTCGGAGGCCATAAAATAAAGCATAATCCACTCATGTGTGATTGTGTTGTTAATACTGTATAATTATAAGAAGAACTATTTCTATTTTCTCTAACATCATAATAAGCGGGAAACCATGATTTATAGCTTCTAGATACGATTTCTGCAATTATTGATGAATTGAAATCATCTCCATTTTTATCAATAAATAATTTTGAAAATTTTGGATCACTTGGTGGTGAAGTTTCAATAACATATTCAAATTTATTGGATCCTATCCAATTATCATTCTTTCTTAATCTTAAATAATATTCGTAAGGAATTTTAGAATCTCCTCTTGGTAAAGTTGCTTCGTTTGATTCAATAAAGAAAAAAGCCAAATTAATTGACAGCAATAATGTTGTTACAACTATAAATCCAAGTCCCAAAATTTTTAATAAGCTAAAAGATTGACGGTTATTATTATTTGGTATATAATTCGGATTGTAAAAAGGACTTCGAAGTAATGGTTTTCTCTCATTATCTGTTTCTTGTGACATAATAAATAACTATTTTTATTAACTATAAAAAAATTTTATTTTTTTATTTTTACAAACGATCTTTTCATAAAGAAAAAAAACTCGTCATTTTATAAATTTCGTGACACTGAACTCGTCAACTCGTGACTTACTCCTAGGTTACGTTATTAAATAGATCACGTGTCACATTACATTATAAACTTTTGCAAATTAATATACGATAAATAAATAATATAAATTGGCTTGAACCTTTTAAGGAATTTTGATAAAAATATATTTTATAAATAAAAAAAAACTTGAAAGTAAAAGGATTTGTATCTTTAATCTAATAACTTAGATATCAATTTCAGATATTTTTATAAGTTATTGGTTTATTTAATTAATTATTAATTATACAAAAATAATAATATTTACTTAAAATAATTAATAAGAAGTATAATAAAATATTCTAATTCTAAATAATTAATTTAATTTTTAAGAATCATATAAAAACTTAGTGGTCATTAATTAACTAATCAATTATTTAATCGATTATAATCATAGCAATCGATTTGTTTTCAATTTAATCAGATAATCAGATTATAAGCCAAGTCAGATCATTTAAATATTTAAATAATTCAGATGATTTGAATAATCAAAAATCCAGATAATCGAATAACCTGAATAATCAAAATCTGAATAATTAATCTGAATTATTCAATTAATTTTAACAAATAATTAATTTATCATTTTTTATTAATTAAAACTTTTATATACTGTATAATGCTAAAAAATAATGATTTATTAACTTTACAAAAGTTTCTTCAAAAAAAAAATATAACTTTTAATTTTTTACTAATAGTTATGCTTCTAGTGAAAAAATCTCAACTATATTCATATTTTATTTTAAAAAACCATTTTATACAAAAGATTAGGATCTAATTATGTATATCAAATTAATATATGATTTCTAGTATCTGAAAAAAAATATTTACTAGAAACTAAAGATGGCACCATAATTAAGAAGTTGTAATTTGAGTTGCAACTTGGTTGCAACTCCTTGTAAATTTATTTTAATATAAAAATTCATAAAATGTTACAACTCAAAGTGTTGCAACTTAAGTTGTAACTAGTTAAAAATTTTAAAAATAATTATGGGAACCATCTTTACTAGAAACAAAATATTTCTGAAATATGAAAATATTTACATACTAATTCAGATAACTTTGTAAAAATAGTTTTACATTTCTTTTACTATTCATATAGATTATCTTTAAGGTCAGCATAATGCATATTAATATAATTATTTAATTTATTTTCAGTATTATTACTAGTTAAAGTATTAGGAAATATATAATTGAATAAAGATTCTTTTGTTTGTATTTACCAAAGTCTTCTTATTTTTAATTCATCATTTTGATCTCTATAAATATAATTAACATTACTATTATCAATAGGTAAAGGTTATATATCATCAAGTAGTAAATCAAATTGATTTAAAGTTCATTTTGAAGTAATTGAATAATCCAATTCTTTTTATCTTGAGTAAATGATAAATGCTTAAATTATAGATTTAAACATGTAACTTTTAATGCAATATCTAATTGAACTGACTAAAGATGGTAATAACAATTATTTTATTATGTTGCAACAAATAAAAAATTAATTAAATGTTATAACATGATTAACTTAATTAACCGCATG